TCCTTGTTCAAAACAGATTTTAAAGAGGTTGGTAAGTGACTGTATTGAAAGAGTTGAAGGAAATGTTAGAAGAAGAGATATTTAAAATGAAAAAAAAATATAAATGATAAAAATATTTGTTTATCACCTTAACTTTCGCTGTCGGAATAAAATCGATACTTACACAGACAGTTGCACCGAGCACGATCTCTTATCTTTGGAACACAGGCGTGTTTTGCTTGACATGGCTTTGTTATATGATATAATAAACAGTAATATTGACTGTCCATATCTTGTCTCAAGAAACACCTTTCGTACTCCAAAATTCCGCACCTGCAATACTACATTGTTACAGACTCCCTGGCATCATTCAAACTACTGTCGAAACACTGTTCTTTCGCGGCTTGCTCGTACATATAATGAACAATTTAGACAATTTGACCTCTTTGCGAAATCTAAACTTACGTTTAAAGATTACATCAAGAAAACTATTAAGAAATAGAGCAGTTGAAGTTAAAATCACATACAATCATATATTCTCTCGTCTATTTTTTCTATATGTATTTTTTGAGGCTACTAATATAAATATAAGTAGGTACTTAAGTTATTTTATTTCATATATATTATAATTAATTATTTGTATTATTTTTATATATTTATACATTTAATATGTATATGTACATAAGTATGTATGTTAAAGGTAATGTAAAATATCATTCTACCTGACTCTCTCTCCTGATCTGTAAACTTATGACCACCTTCATTACATTGAATTGCTTATAATTTTGCTTATAATTTATCTATTAGATGGTACGACTTTCCATTGACGTCAGTGGAGTTTGGTGTTGATACGTATTTTTACAGAAAGATTACACTATTATAAGCACACACACAAAGTCTCAATATACGGAAACGCGTAATTTTTGAGAAAAGAATAATTGAAAATCAATTATTCTTGCAATGTTTATGTCTAATCTGCTAATAGACTGGCGCCATTTTGTAATGTCATTGTCGACGTCAATAGGGATGTCGATTCTTTCCGAAAAAGATTGATTTTTTAGATTCGAATTGTAAGCTGATGTATCTATTCCCAAAAAATCGATTTCTAAAATGTCGATATTTTTTTCATGTTTGCATTTATAATGTAAATATAAATCCATTTTATGAGAAAAAATCCCCTTCATCATAAAAAAATAAGGGGACTGATTCATAAGGATTTCTGTATCTATGAGACTATGAGATTGTCTATTGATATGAGATTTCTGTATCTATGAGACTGCTACGTCTCCGGCGCTGCGGGAAGAGCAACCTCTACGCCTTAGCGTAACAAATCGCAGGCATCCCTCCTCGCCTCCGCAGCTTCGGCTTGTTGGTCACCTTCGGCGACCAGCCTCAGCCGCTCCGGCTCGTCCGATGCCTACGATTTGTCACAGCAGGCGGAGGCTGCTCCCCCTACGCGCCTCCGGCTCTATAAAACCACTCTAGGGGTAGGACAGACTCGTACCAGGTGGAGTCGGGGTCAATCAATTCGGTTCTTTGACATAAGTTGAACCTAACCTATTTTATTTATCTGCCCTAATAGGTACTGTTAAATAAAACAAATTTCAATAAGAGATCATTTATCATGGTATCTTTCTTGTTTTTCATAAAATGGGTTTATATTTACATTATAAATAGAAACATTAAAAAATATAGATATTTTAGAAATCGATTTTTTGTGAACCGATACATCAGCTTACGATTTGAATCGATTTAAAAATCGACCTTTTTCGGAAAGAATCGACATCCCTATTGACGTCGACAATGACATTACAAAATGGCGCCAGTTTATTAGCAGATTAGACATAAACATTGCAAGAATAATTGATTTTCAATTATTCTTTTCTCAAAAATTACGCGTTTCCGTATATTGAGACTTTGTGTGTGTGCTTATAATAGTGTAATCTTTCTGTAAAAGTACGTATCAACACCAAACTCCACTGACGTCAATGGAAAGCTAAGCCTATTAGATTGTTCTTCTTTCCTTTTCTTCCAACAATAATACACCTACCATCAAGCAATATAAGGGAAACCTGTTATTGGCCATACTTTTAGTTTGTTACATTAATGTTAATATTTACTATATACGCTGTTGGTTTTATAAATAAATAAATAAATAAATGAAACTACTTTAGAAAAGAAAATGGATAGACGAAAGCAAAGAATCTGGAGGTTCTGTTTGTTGTCGACGCGACGTTACCTTACAATGCAGCTCCAGCGACTGACCAAGTATAGGCGTGTGTATCTCTTTACAGAAACGACTCACTGATACGAATCACTGAAGTGACACAAAAGATTGGTTCAGTAACAACGTTTCAAATGTATCATTTGTATCTGGAACAGTGAAACATTATTTTGCTCTTTGCTCATTTCGCGCGACGCGTCGCTTGCGAGGCGACTGAGCCACGAGCGAGAGAGAGAGACTGAGACAATGATTAACTTAACTATTGAGTCACGAGTAGCGAGTGAGCGGGCGAAATAATTATAATTCACACAAGTCAGATAGAGATAACAAATAAGAAGTATATCACTCAACTCTTACGGATTTTCGCTGACGTTATTCATGCAAGTAAAAATTACCACTAAGGCGCTTATGTGTCAAATACTATACGGTCGTTTTTTGTATGTAACGTTTGCATTAACAAGTTGTCATTTTACGTTGATGCGGCACTTGTCAAATTGTTTATATTCATTAGCGCCTGTTTACGAAAACATACTGAGTTATGTTTAGGATTTCTTTGCGTAGTGATTATTGTGAATTTACTTTCTTCCTTTTCATCATAAAGTTTAGAGTTATGATACTTTACGAGTAAATTCTGTGTACATAGACATTGCTGTTTTGTGTAAATGGACATTTTTGTAAATAATGAATTGACATAGTGACATTTTTGTTAAAGTATGAAGGAGAATCGATTTTATACACAATCTTATTATGGTACACAATAAATAATCTAAGCACTTATATTATTCAGCATTTTTGCCACATAAAATTTCACGGATCAGTCAGTAATAAACGCCCGCGACGCAACTTAATGTATTCGGAACATTCTTTTATATCGTCGTTTTTTTATAGCGTCGTTTTCCAGTGCAATTATTATAAAGTTAGAATACAATCATTGGACAAAGTAACTGCTGATTCGTAACGACGACGATCACTACCCGCATTAGAAAAAGTTGAAAATTGGTACATAAGTTGTTATATAAATTTTATAAAATTTAATAAACAATGGCTAAATGTGGGGGATGTGGAAAATTTATGCCCCAGATGGAGAGTGTTCGATGTCCGAAATGCTGTACAGATTTTCATAGGGCATGCGTAAAGATAGCGGATAATGCGAGAATCAGTGCCACTTGGATCTGTCCTGGGTGTAAAAGCCGCTTACCAAAAGGGGATAATTCCACAACACCTGTTAAGGGATTATTTTCAACATCTTCACCCGGTGACGACATGTCAAGTACAGGTGTGACATCAAAAGAAGATAGTACTAATCTTCTTACCCTAGAGATACGTTCTTTTCGGGAGGATCTCCAGGCAGCCAGAGATGACATCAAGAAGGAAATAAAAGAAATGCGTCAAGAGATCACTGATTTTAAGGTTTCATTAAAATCATGTATGGATAGACTTGATGCCATGGAAGACAGGCTTTCGTCTGTAGAAAAACGGTTTGAGCAGACAGTTCCGATAGAAAACAACACTATACAAGATACTGTAAATGAATTACGTGTTCAATTGCAAGAGCGCGACCAGGAATTGCTCCTTAATGACGTGGAAATAGCTGGAATTCCAGAAAACAAAGGAGAAACGCCGGTTCACCTTGTTAAGTTGGTTGCGAAAAAGTTAGGAATGGATGTTGACGAACGGGACATTGTATATGCTGAACGTGTTGGGTTGTCTCGACTGAACAGAGTTGATGAGAATGGAACTTCACCGTCTTATCCGCGTCGCATAGCCATGCGCCTGGCACGCCGCTCCATTCGCGATCAATTCTTGCAAGCAGCTCGAATACGTCGCGTCATCACAACAGCCGACCTGGATTTGGGAGGAACGCCTCAACGGGTGTATATAAACGAGCGCCTCACGCGTTTTTACCGACAGCTTTTCTACAAAGTGCGTGAAGTTGGTCGTCATCACAATTACAAGTATGTCTGGACAAGGAACGGTAAGATATTTTTTGGAAAGATGACGGCAAGCCTGTTGAACGTATACGTGACCTGAAGGACATTGAAAGAATTTTTTCTTAACAAATTGTTTGCTTCACATCCATAGCTTAAACTATGTCAAAAAAGCTCTAGCTCTATTTTGTTTACCTAGCTATCGCTATATTATAACATTCCAACTTGTGTTATTTCGTTACTTATTAGTGGTTATTGATACGGCATATACCTCTGTATTGTTTTCTAAATATTTTTACTGTCCTAACCAGGAGTGTTGTGCCGAAAACAAGTTAATGATATTACATTTTATAAAATATAATATAAGTAAATGCCATTTAACGCCCTCACAAGATGAATTCACTGTTTTAAAAAATTATAAACCGAATATGTCATATTGTAAGAAAAAACTTTCAAATGCAAGAAATGATAAGATTAGGTTATATTCATTTTATTTCTTAAGTAATATTGTGTGTGGTGATAACTTTGTATGTCTTTGTGCTACTATAATTATGTTAAAATCAAATACATTATATATTAATACCCCTAATGGCTAGCAATAAAGGGTTCAAAGTTGGTTTGTACAATGCAGGTTCTCTCGGAACAAAAAGTGAAGAGTTTATTACATTAATGAATAAGTTATCGGTTAGCTGAGAGCTGGAGAGGATGAACACGTACCAGTGATTCCGCAATATAAATTCCGGCATACTCCACGTCCAACAATTGTAAAGTCAGGGCGAGGTGGCGGTGTGGGATTCTACATTAAAGAAGGAATTAATACACATACCTATATACACCCTGTCGATCCAAAACATAACATGGTTGAGCAAATGTGGCTAACATCCACTATAAGTGGTAAAAAAGTGGCGTTAGGTACAGCTTATAGGCCCCCCTGGCTCGATGTAAATCTATTTTTAGATGCACTAACTGACACAATAACTTGCATGTCTTCCTTTGACCACATCATTATATTAGGCGATTTTAATATTAACTTGTTGCTTAACAATCATTATAACACAAAAAAATTACACTCTTTTTTGAATACACTCAGTCTTACGCAACTTGTAAACTCGCCAACACATTTTACCGAGTCAAGCTCATCCCTGATCGACATTATCTGTACAGACCTGAGCGCACGTCATGTCACCGTGGAGGCAACAGGGACACTACATGGGCATGCTATGGTGTTTTGCGAGTTCGACGTATACCGAGATAAACCAACCCACAAATGTATTTATATGCGGCCAATAAAAGACATTTACTATGATAATTTAAAAAAAGATCTGAATTCTATTCGTTGGGACTTAATAGCACAATTACCTGACGTAAATCATATTCTAAATACATTTAACAGATCTGTCCTCTGTGTCTTTGATACTCATGCACCGTATAAGAAATGCGTATTCAAATCTCGACCCTACCCATGGATGACACCTAACCTGAAGTTCATGATATCTTTAAAAAATAAAGCCTTGTCTGATTTCCGTAAAACTAAAGACGTTACAAAAAAGGAATATTTTAAAACTTTAAATTCATTAGTAAATAAGACAATATATTTCGAAAAAGTTGCTTACTTTAATAATAATATCAATAGCCAAAAAAGTCGACCAAAACATCTATGGAAAAGTCTTAAATCTATTATATTACCTTTGAAAAAACCTAAAGAGCTGCCCTTACATTTCACTGACGCTGAAAAAATTAACGACCATTTCCTAAATATTCCCGGTAGTTCAAAGGTTAATCTGTCTCAATTAACTTACTTTGAATTTAATAAATATTGTCAAAACAGTTTTAGCTTAGAACCAACTAGTGCAGAAGCCGTCTTTAAGGTAATCAAGAGTTTACATTCCAATGCTCAAGGATACGACGAAATAACACTGAATATGCTGCTTTTAACATGCTCTGACACATTGGATGTTATTACAGCCTTAATAAATACATCTTTGGCGACTTCTCAGTTTCCTGAACTATGGAAGATAGCTGTAGTTCGACCAATTCCTAAAAATAGTAATCCATTAGATATCAAGGATTTAAGACCTATAAGCATTTTGCCGTGTCTTTCCAAGGTTATAGAAAAAATTGTATGCCGCCAGATAACAGATTACATCGAAAAACACGACATATTGCCACAGACACAATCTGGGTTCAGAAAAGGTCGAGGAACTGTATCCGCTTTACTAGATGTAACAGACAATATTCTACAAGCACAGGATCAGGGATTGTGCACGTTACTTGTATTATTAGATTTCTCACGAGCATTCGAATCAATTAATATTTCTCTGCTTTTATCAAAATTAAGCTACTATGGATTTGACATTAAAACGGTTAAATGGTTTAACAGTTATCTCACTAACAGATTACAGGTTGTTGAATTAAAAAAACCTGACGGCTCACCGACACGCTCAAAGCTTGCGACGATTAACAGGGGAGTACCACAAGGATCAATTCTAGGCCCAATATTATTCATCCTATACTCTGCGGATATCACTAAACATATGTGGAAATGCAAATTCCACATCTATGCTGATGATATTCAAGTTTATATATCTTTTAAAGCGGAAAACATGAACACAGCCATAATAGAATTAAATGAGGATTTACAGCGAATCGCCACATGGGCTGAGAACAATAGTCTTGTTCTTAATCCGGCTAAAACTAAGTACTTGTTGATAGGCCAAAAAAAAGGACTAAATACAATTCAAACCCAGTCGACTGCACTAGCTCCAATGCTTCTTGGCATATCAATTGAGCGCGTGTACGAAGCTCGGAATCTGGGTTTGAACATGGATGCAGGGTTGCGATTCGAGAATCATGTGGCAGATTGCGTGCGAGCTTGTTTTTACAGATTGAAGACACTCTACAAAATTAGACCGTACCTCAGTGTCGAACTACGTGAACAGCTAGTAGAAACGCTCGTGCTCTCGAAGCTGAACTATGCAGACACTGTTTATGGACCCAGACTGCTAGCTCGTACACAGCGACTAGTACAAAGGGTTCAAAACGCCTGTGCTAGGTTTTGTTATAAAATTCCTACGCGAAGTCATTTAACACCGTTTCTTAATAAACATTACGTATTGAAGATGAAATCTAGACGCAAACTCCACCTGGCATGCCTTCTCTTTGGTGTCGTGAAGTATAAAAATCCACCATACTTACACGACAAACTAGCTTTGGTCGCGCGAAACAGACAAGGTAACAACAGACTGTGTTCTCAACAATTATCTGTGCAGCGTCACAGAACAGCAGCTTTCAGGGGTAGTTTTAGATATGCGGCTACAAAATGTTGGAATAATATTCCACCTCCAATCAGGAGTTTAAAAAATCTCCACCAGTTCAAAATCAAGCTAAAAAAAATTCTTATTGATGCACAAATACAACATGGCAATATCAACCGAGAAAGCTCCTTCCTATAACGCATTGTACGGTTATTAACAAAATTGTCTGTATATTTTTCTCATTTTTGTTTATTATTATTATTACTAATCCATTTTAATTGATAATTGATAGTTGTTGTTACCACACACAATTATGTATAAGGTTATATTTAATGTCTTATATTGTACTTTTTTTTTTTTTGCTGCTTTTTGCTTTATTTTAAATTTTGTGTTATAATTATATAGAAGGTTTAGGCTTTTTTCGTTTTATCGAAGGACTAAACTACACGTAACAGCTGTGCTAAGTTCGTGACGCCAATGAATAGGTTTCTTGGCTGAAAATCAGCGCTGTGTGAGGCCATACTCACACAACACATGCTGAGCCAACCCCTTTTCGGCACAATGCGACCTTTTTTTTATATATATCAATATGTGCTTTTACTTTCATGTGTATGAACTGCCTGTGCTGAATAAATGTTTTTTCTATTCTATTCTATTCTATATATTTTGGAGTCGATGATACAAATGAGCCAAATGAAACATATCAGTGTTTCGGAACATTTCAGTGATCAAGATGCAAATGTTCCAATCCCAAAAATGATACACTTTGCCCACCTCCACCAAGTACTGACTTGGTCGTTTAGTCAATGTTAATATCACTGGCGCAGATGGCGGGGGAGTGGACTGACTTCAAAATATTCAAGCAGGAATGTTGAAGTCAGCACTGGCGCCACAGCGCTGTACTGACTCCAAATCAATTTACAGTATGTCAGTATCGGGTCAGCACTGACTTGCCTGGAATTTGGAGCCAGTTACTGACGCTGTGTAAATTAGCCATTATGTTACATAGATATACCCAGGCAGTGTCAGCAGGCATTCTGATTTTTGACCGCGGTGGTCAACCAGACCGCACTCTTCGCGCTTTCACTGCTGTTTCGATGTCTACATCGGAAGGAAGATGGAGACCGAGAAGTTGATTATGTTAGTACGAGAAAGGTGTTTTTATTTGATGTGAAGCATGATGATTAAAAAAACCGAGCAAAAGTAGCAGAAGCGTGGTTAGAAATTGCCAGAAAAATGGGGACGGAAATTTTTCCATCAGTAAGTAATTTACAAAACAGTCTATGAAATTCTCCATCTTGTTCTCTGTTCTTATTTAGTGGGCGCACCAAATGTTTCCTTTTCCTTTTTAATGCTGCTAATGTCCACAATATCAATAATTCGTCTTCCGATGAAGAACTATAGTCAAAAAACATGGTGACTGTAGAGGCACCGCGTAGACCGTCCAACAGTGGGATGCGTGAGCAAGTGAACGCTGGAATGAAGAACGCGGAACGCTTGAACGCGTGACCGCTTCCTGTCTCAGAACCCTGTGAAGTTTTCACTGTACAAATACACAAACTCTCTCATAATTTATTCTTTTATAAAATATTAAAAGAAATAAATATGTAACGCCACATTTCATAAAAAGAATGTCAAAAGATTTTTCTATGTACTATGACAATAGTATATGTATTTTGGATGTTATTTTATTGATGTATACAAAAGTAATATTTTTTAATTAATTTAAGACAGTCATTACATGTTTTTTGGTTGTTAACGGAATTATTAAATTTTGTAAGTATTGGACCATTTTTTTTAAACAAGTTTTTGAATACTTTATAGAAATGTTCGTTCTGGCTCTGAGCAGGCCAAGCTGCCTAACCAAATCACAGTCTTACATGCTCGACGATGAAGAACATCGTACACAAACCAGCATGGCCGACAAATAAAAAATATTTTGGGGACCACCACGGGGGGTTAGAGTAACACACGCAGCCGACTCTATTCAGCCATTAGGTACTCCTCTCATTAATGAGAGGCGCTCTATGCCCAGCCGTGGGGTGGGCATAGGCATGTCTATGTCATAAAACCAAAGAGTTCTCTTCGATAGATATTATTATTATAGATTTATTACTATTTCGACTAATGTTTTAACCGGTTAAAATAATTACTTATGTAGTTAAGCATTGTTGAAAATAGTCTTCTTTTTCTGAAGACCTAGGGTCAGCAATCGACTTTATATGGGTTGTAATGAAAGTACAATAATTTGAGAAGTGTTGTGGTTTGCGAATGTAGCGTTTTGTATAACCTTTTTTTATAGAACAAGGGTGACAAACGAGCTCACAGACCACTTGATGGTAAGTGGCTGCTGTGGCCCAATAGACATCTACATTTATCCTTGATTAAGAATCAAAATGCAGTTGCGTTGTCACCCCGGAGGACTAAGATGGAATGCCTCGTTTGCTGTAAAAAAGGATCTCCCGTTATCTACACTCACCATACAAAACACAGCATCGTTAAGAAATTTATTAAACTAATATAATCTTTTTTTAAACATTTCAGATACATTATGGCGAGGTGTCGTCAAAAGCAGTATGCAACACTTTATTTTTTTTATGTCATGTAATGACGACATGAAGAATCCCCTACCCCGTGGGTCGTAAGAGGCGACAGTGACAATCAGGGTACGACTTTCCATTGACTCCCGTCTAGTTGGGGGTTGATACTTATTTTTACAGAAAAGTTACACTATTATAAGCACACACACAAAGTTACAACATGCGGAAGCGCGTAATTTTTGAGAAAAAAGTTATTGAAAATCAATTATTCTTGCATTGTTTATGTCTAATCCTACAATAAAACTGACGCCATTTTTTATTGTTATTATCAGTAGGGATGTCGATTCTTTCCGAAAAAGATCGATTTTTTAAATAGATTCGAATTGTAAGCTGATGTATCGATTCCCAAAAAATCGATTTCTAAAATATCTATATTTTTTCATGTATGCATTTATAATGTAAATATAAATCCATTTTATGAGAAAAAAATCCCCTTCATCATAAAATATAGGGGGACTGATTCAGAAGGATATCTGTATCTATTTTGAGACTGCTACGTCTCCGGCGCTGCGGGAAGAGCAGCCTCTACGCCTTAGCGTAACAAATCGTAGGCATCGGACGAGTCGGAGCGGCTGAGGCTGGTCGCCGAAGGCGACCAACAAACCGAAGCTGTGGAGGCGAGGAGGAATGCAAGAATAATTGATTTTCAATAACTTTTTTCTCAAAAATTACGCACTTCCGCATGTTGTAAGTTTGTGTGTGTGCTTATAATAGTGTAACTTTTCTGTAAAAATCCGTATCAACCCCCAACTCAACGGGAGTCAATGGAAAGTCGTACCGGAATGTTTTCTAAAGTTTCTTATAATGATTTTTTATATTTACGCGAACACTACATATTATTATATATACGTGGTAGAGCTATGCTTGTTCGTGATAGAGCCATGCTGCAGCTATTTTAATAGTATAGTACAACTATACTATTAAAATAGCTAAAATAGCTGCAGCATGCACGGATGGGTCGGCTCGACCGGGTAAGCACCACGCTCTCACAGAATACCAGCGTAAAATAACATCTTAATGCTGCTGTGATTCGTATAGTGCGTGTAGAGAACAGGAGACCCTTTTTACTGGAAATAAGGCATTCTATCTTTGTTCTCACGACTGACAACGCATCTGCATTTTAATTCGCAAACGAGAATAGATGTAGATGTCTATGGGCCACAGCAACTACTTGCTATCAAGTGGAAACTAATTTTTACGGATTTTATCGCGTTTAATTTAACTTTTTAATACCAGACGTTTCGGGTGCTTTACAGCACAGTAATGCAGCACGTAGTAAGTTTCTTAATTAAAAATAATATAATCTTAGAAATCGGTTGACTTGGTAAATAATTATTCGACCATATTATGCTGTGCAGATGCGTTTGCAAATGGGAAAGTTTGTTTTTCTCATAAATCCCATGTTGTGCGTCACATTGTGAAGTTTTTGGGAGATATTGGCGGCAGCTTGAGCCAACAGACAGTTGATGGTGATAGTGTCTCAAGGCGCCTAGGCAGACAACATTATCTTGATTATCTTCACATCACCATCGGAGCACTTGTTTCACCGTTTCCACTAATAGTTCATATTCGCAGACATTTTATATGGGAGCACATGAAAAGCAAATTTCAAATTAAAAAGAATCATCAAAATCGTTTCACTTAGGAAAAAGTTCTGAGGTAACATGTATCAACACCAAACTCGACGGACGTCAATGGAAAGTCGTACCTACCTTTGTATAAACCGAAAGTAAAAACTTCACTGGGGTAAGTGGTGACGGGGATAGTGCACGCAATTGAGAGAGGGCGGGACGTGCTCTTCAAACTAGGTAAGACACATCATTTTATTTTAGCGAGTGGATGTACACAAGGTAATTTTTATCAACTTTAATATAATGGATGTTCGCAAAGTAACGCCTGATTCTATTGAAAATACAAGAGCAGCAATTCGCCGTTGGTCAAGTTCCAAAAAAAGAACTTCCTAAAAGAAACTTCTATAACTATATATATATCTAAAACTTAGTGTAGGACACAATTGAATTTTATTTTTAAATTTGACAGGGTCTGCCGCAGCAAAACTGGCTGGTTTAAGCGTTGCCGTTATTGTGACCGTCGGTACAAAATGCCACAACGCCAACGTCGACGTAGCCGTTGTCCGTGCCGGCGACGAAAGCGACGGTATCTGGGGGCACGGCAGTGCCCCCGCCAAGTCGAGCAAAAAAGCGGCACGGCCGTACCATCCTTTTCTCGAAGCAGTTCAGGCCATTTTCGTAACCCTATAACTTCGTCGAGGATAAATCTAGAACCCTGAATTTTATCATATTTATATTATCTAGATAGGCATTGTATAAACTCGGTATATTTCAAATTTCATTAAATTTGAATTGGTAGTTTAAGAGTTATAACTAGTCAAAGTTTCTTAATTTTGTCACTCACTGACTGACCGATCATCAAAACTTTAAGGCACTTTTAGCAGACATAGAGCTTCAAATTTGGAATACAATTGTTGTTTAGTATATACTCGTAAATCAAGAAAAAATTAAAATATTTTTTTTTAATTTATTTGAATTGCCAACATAAGAAACAGCAATAATTGTTTGGTTACATAACAGTAATATA